CTCGGTGCCAGGGCAGGAGAGGCCTCCGCTGCCACCGCAGCCGGGTCTGCCATGGCTCGCATCGCCGGCGGCACTGCCGAGGGGCAGGGGAGCGGCTGTCAGAGCTGGAAGGGCTCCGTGTCACCTCCGTGTCACCGCGGGGCACAGAACACCCATCCCTGCTCTGCTCCTGCATCCCCCGGACCCTCACACCGAGCTGGGCCCTGCCAGCCTGTTCCCTCAATATCTGCATGTGAGAACCCGCTTGTCCGAGGAGGATAAACCCCAGCCAGGCAATTATCCACGGGGCTGAGAGAGCCCGGAGCTGCCAGCCAGGCTGCAGCCCAACAGGGGGATTTTCCACACCAGGATATTCCCCTGCTCCCAGTGCCAGCCCGGGGCTGCCAGGCCAGCGGGCAGGACTCCCTGACTCCTCTGAAAGTTCATGGTTTGGCCCCAGCTTCGAGCACTGCATGGGTCCAAACTGGAGCCGGCCCAAGCTGCGGCCCCAGTGCCCAGTCAGCAATCTCTGCCTTCACTGGGGATGCAGAGGACAAAAGTTTTTCTAACACCAAGTTTCCGTTGTCCTGAGGGGGCCCATGGCCTCAGGGAAGGGCTGTCCTGTCCCCACCACCCCTCACTGCTGCTCTCCATGGGCTGGCCTGCCCTGAGCCGTGTCCCCTCCGGTGTTTTGGGAGGGAGAAGGGATCTGCAGGACGGGCTCTGCAGGGCACCGCGGTGCTGAGTCAGCCCCCAGCGGGTCCCTGGAGTGCTCAGCCCCTCCCTGTCCCCCTCCCCTCACAGCAGCCCTGCAGCAGCAGCAGGAATGCATCCCAGGGACCCTGGGGCTGCCTCATCCTCACAACGCACTGCCCTGGATCTTCAGAGCTCCTCGATGCCAGGAATTAATCACAGCCTGTGCCGCAGCTGCCTCCAGCCCCCTTTATATAATCTCAGCTCTTGCTTTGCTTCGCCTTTGCAGGAGCCACTTGTTAACCCCGGATCATCCACGGGTGATTGTCCCAGCCCCTGGCAGAGCCTGGCTGGTGCTGGTGGCACTGCTGGCACCATTGGCAAGGCACCAAAACAGCCAAAGGAGGGGTGAGCAGGGCAAATGAGCAGTGGGGCTGGGCCTGAGAGGGGCCCTGCTCCAGGGAAGGTGCCCTGTCCGTGGCAGGGGTGGTTTTTAAGGTCCCTTCCCTTTAAGGTCCTTTCCAACCCAAAGCATTCCGTGTGTGGTTCCAAGGGATCCCTCCCCTGACCCTGCAGGGCCCTGTCCCCCTCCCAGCCAGCACTGCAGCCCCTGCCCCTCACCATGCAGGGTTCTCATGGCCCCATCACAGCCATCCCAGTATCCCCAGTATGCCCAGTATGCCCAGTGCCGCCCACCACCCCGCGCTGCTCCTACCAGAACGCCCCTGGGCAGGTCCCTGGAGGGTCCTGGCCGGTCTCTGCTCTGTGTCCCTGCCAGGTCAGGGCACAGTGTCTCGCACTTGGTGCTGGCCTTGGTGCTCCTTGTGGTGCTCACTCCACCGTGCCCAGCTCTCCGTTCCCACCACTCGTGGGTTTTGAAAGCTAAAAAAAAAAAAAAAAAAAAAGGAAAAAAAAAAGAGAAGTCTGTTTCCTGAGAGACCATTAGCACGGTGGAAGACAAGATAATAATAGCCTGGGTTTGTATGGGAGTTCTCCTCTGGCAGGGATGGTGAGTACAGGGGAGGGTACACTGCTGCTGCTGCTGCTGAGGAGGGTGGGAGCAGCAGGACAGACCCTGCTGGGTGTCCTGGCTGCACCCCAGGGGCAGGTGAGGCCCTGGGGGAGGCTCTGCTGCTGCCTCAGGCTCCAGAGAGCCAGCACTGAGTGTGGGGGTGCCCAGAAGCGAGTGTGTGGGTGCCCAGGCTGCGGCCCTGCAGGATCAGGGGGATCTTTGTGCTCTCTGCAGGATAAATCGGACATGAAGGTCCTTGCAGGGGTTGTCACGGGGGCAGCGGGGTGGGTTCATGGGGGCACGGGGCAGTGGCGATGATGGAGGTACCAGCAAAGAGCTCTCAGGGCTGATTCCACCCCTTCCAGGACACCCCTGAGAAGGACTGGGGCTGAGGGGGATGGCTGCTGAGTGGGACACCCAGCCCAGGATGGTCACACCTGTGCAGGGCAGGGACACAGGACCCCCAATGGCAGTGTCCCCCCTCGCTGTGTGAGGACACACCAAGGCCATGACCATCAGTGAGCCTCTCCCTGCATTCCAGCCCCAAAATTCCTCTCCTTGCTCCCAGCTTTGGTTCAAATCCAGGGCCTGACACAACCTGACAGAGACAAGCTGTGGCCCAGCTTGGGCTGGAGTCCTGGAGTGTGTCCCCCTGGAACATTCCCTGACGTGGCCAGGGCATCAGAGGTGGCCTGGCACAGCCTGGCAGGGTGGCAGCTCCGGGTGGGCACCGCCTGCCTGGTATTTGCTCTGCTTGTAGGATCAGGGAGTTAATTGAAATATCAACTTCATTAACTTCCCTCAGTCCTCTGTGGTTAATTAGGGTGGCAGTGGCACCACAGCAGCGCTTTCCTCACGCAGCCAAAGGAGCTGGAAATCCCTCTCCAATTATCTGCACAAAGCACCGTGACAGAGCCGGCTGTCCCTGCATTATCCCGGGATCAGGAGTACTGGGGTGGCTCTGAGGGAATTCTGCAAGCTCAGATGAAACTGTGGCCAGCGGGCTGGGCAGGGTGCGATCCCAGCTCCATCCCCTGCCCCCAGCTCCACATCACATCGCTGCTTCTCAGGGGTTTTACTGGTGGATACTGGGGTGGGTTTTGTGCTGCTGGGGGAGCAAGGAGCCAGGTGAGGTTTGGAATGCCTGAGAGCCTGCCAGCCCCAGGTGGCTTTGGAATGCCTGAGAGCCTGCCAACCCCAGGAGCCACTGCCAAAGCCTCTCCAGCACCCTGTGCATCCCAGGGCTGGAGCTGAGCCCTGCCTGTCTCTGGGCTCTGCCTCACTCCTGTGTCTCAGCCATTCCCAATTTCCACTCGTGTCTCAGCCATTCCCAATTTCCACTCGTCTTCCTGTGCTGCGTGGCCCCTGCAGCTCACAGGGGCTCTGAGCCATGGGACAGGATCCAGCCACTCCCCACATCCATCCCGTTCCCTCCGGCACAGCCTCGCCGCAGGAATTGCAGGGAGCAGCAGTTTCCCGATGGATGATGCTGCCGGCAGCTCCTGGCAGCTGCAGCTCCTTCCAGCGCCTGCAGATCCACAGCGCTGGGCTGTGCGGGGCCCTATTTGGAGTCTATTTGGAGCTTTCCCTGACATCCCGCTCCTCTGATCTCGGTGGATCTTACGGGAGGCGCTTTCAAAGCAGCGCATCCCCCTCCTGCATCCCTCCCTCCTCCCTCCGTGCCGTGCCGGTGCCGGTGATGCCGCGGGTCCCCGCTCCGTTCCCCGCCGTGCGGAGCCCCTTCCTCCCCCTGCCCGCGCTCCTGCCCCGAGCCGTCAATCCCGGGGCTGCGGCGGGAGCTCAGCCCGCCCGGGATGGATGAGGCCTGACCTAATTCCGAGCGGCAGCGGCCCCACGCCGGGGTCCCGCAACGCCCGGCTGCATTTGGGAGCGGGGATCCATCCCCGCAGGGAACCAGAGCCGCGTTTTGGCCAAAAAGCACCAAAATTTCTTCCTCTTGCACCAAGGAAGGCGCCGCTTCCAGCAGAGCCTAAACCCGGGGACTCACCCCGGTGAGAGTTTTTGGATGAAGTCCCCGAGCAGGGATTTGTGCTGCTGATCTCTGCAGGGAGAAAGAAGCTGCAGCAGCTCAGCCCCTTTGGAACCTGCCCAGGTTCACCTTCAGAGCCCTCACCTTGCCACACGCCGGGCTGTCACCTCCTCCTCCTGCGGGGATCCCCGTGCCCAGCACGGGCCCGGTCGGAGCCCGCATCCCCCGGTGATCCCGGTCGGAGCCCGCATTCCCCGGGGGTCCCGCTCCCATCCCGGGACAGGGCGGTCCCTGCTGTGCCCGCTCCCATCCCGGGACAGGGCGGTCCCTGCTGTGCCCGCTCCCATCCCGGGACAGGGCGGTCCCTGCTGTGCCCGCTCCCGTCCCCAGAGCCCGGGAGCGCCTGAGGGACCCCCGGTCCGCACCGCCCCCAACCCTGCTGGGCAAACCGGTGCTGCCCGGCCCCGCCGCCCGCCCCGGGCCCCGCAGCGCCGGTACCTGCGGCAGGCGGGGGCCCGGGGGTCGGTGCCGGTGGAGGAGAAGGACGAGCAATGCCGGGGAATCGGAGTGGTCCCAGTGCCGCAGGAGGATAACGAGGGGTCAGTCCCGATGCCGGGGACACCGGACCTTGTGCCGGGGCAGGAGAGCCGGTGCCGGTGTCAGTGGCGGTGCCGGTGTCAGTGAGGCCGCTCGGTCCCGGTGCCGGGATCCAAGGACTGATGCCGGTGCCGGGAGAGCAGGGCCGGAGCGCTGCCGGTACCGGTGGCGGTACCGCCGTTGAAGAGCCGGTACCGGCGGCTAAGTCGCGGTCGCGCTGCCCGTTACAGACGCCCAGAGCCGGGCTGGCGCCCGCCCCGCTGCCACCGGCGGTGCCGGACGGAGCATCCGCAGCCCCGAGCGGGCTCCGCGCTCCGCCCCGCGCCCCCCCGAGCCCCCGCCGGGGCTGCCCCCGCTCCGCCGCCGCCACCGGGAGCCCGCGCGGGGGCTGGGCCGGGCCGGGGCTCCCGGGGATCAACGGGGGATTCGGAGCGGGGTCCCCCCGGGACCGGGACCGCCCCGGGACCGCCCCGGGACCGCCCCGGGACCGCCCCGGGACCGCCGGGCCCGCAGCGCCCTCTGCGGGCGGCGGGGCGGGGCCGCAGGGGCGGGACCGGGGCGGGACCGGGGAGGGATCGGTGGATGGGAGGGACACGGGGGTGGCACTGAGAGAGGCGGGACAGGGGGATGGCACCGAGAGAGGCGGGACATGGGGGTGGCACGAGGAGGGGAGGGACACGGGGGTGGTTCGGGGGGGGGGGGGCGTGGCGGGGGCGCGGCCGGGCCGGCGGAACGGAACGGAACGGAACAGAAGGGAACGGAACGGATCGGGCAGCGGGCGCAGCCATGTCCTTCTGCTCCTTCCTGGGGGGAGAGGTGTTCAAGGACCACTTCCAGCCGGGTGAGGGGGCTCCCCGCGGGCTCCGGGGGTGCGGCCGGGGGGTCCCAGCGGGGCGGGCAGGGGGGGTCACCCGGCAAGGCGGAACCCCCCGGGGGAGCGGTTTGAGGGGGGTTTGGGGGGTTTCCTTCTGCGGAGCATCCGGGCTGGGGTCCCCCGTCTGCGGCCCTTGTTGGGGTGGGAGAATCCTCCCCATGGGGAGGGGGGTCCTGATAGGGGGTTCCATCCCTTGTGGGGATCTGCCCTGCGGGAACCCCTATGGGGAGTGGGGGTCCTGCCCCTCCACACCCTGCCTGGCCCTGGGGGTTCCCTTGGGGATCCCTGGGTGTTCCCTGGGGGTGTCCCGGGGTCCGGCAGCCGCAGCTGGCAGTGCCCCATGTGAGTGCTGTGTGTCCCGTGTCCCCGCCCTGACCTGACTCCGCGCTGTCCCTGCCGTGCCCTCTCGCAGGTATTTACGTGTGTGCCAAGTGTGGCCATGAGCTGTTCTCCAGCCGTGCCAAGTACGAGCACTCGTCGCCGTGGCCGGCGTTCACCGAGACCCTGCGGGAGGACAGCGTGGCCAAACGCGAGGAGCGCCCGGGGGCCTTGAAGGTGCGATCCCGAACCCTCGGGCTGTGACCAAAACACCCCCGGGCTGGCTCTCCGTGAGCCCCGGACTGCTGCCAACCCCTCCTTTGCTCCCCCAGGTGACCTGTGACCAAAACACCCCCGGGCTGGCTCTCCGTGAGCCCCGGACTGCTGCCAACCCCTCCTTTGCTCCCCCAGGTGACCTGCGGCAAGTGTGGCAACGGGCTGGGCCACGAGTTCCTCAACGATGGCCCCAAGAGGAGCCAGTCCCGCTTCTGAATATTCAGCAGCTCGCTGAAGTTCGTCCCCAAAGGTACCAGCGCGGCTTTGGCCCCTGCCCAGCCCAGGGAGTTGTTTCTGGCACGCTGAGAGTGCTGCGCTGCTTGCAGCGGGGTGGCCCTGGCTGTGCTGATAAGGGCAGGGAGCTGCTCCTGGGATAAATCTGGTTCATTGTGCACAGCTTGAGGCTCCCCAGCTCAGCTGGAGCTCCTGGCTCTCACCAGCACTCAGGGACTCTGTGGATTTGAGGGGTGGCTGAGTTTTGGGGGGTTTCTCTGGGGGTGCAGAGCGAGGGCAGGGAGCCTCTGTGGTGGCACTGAGGGGCTGGAGGGTTTGCTGGGCACTCCCTGCGGAAGCTGTCAAAGAAAAAAATGTTGAGGAAAGGCCTCAGCACAGCCATGAGCTGCTGGCCTGCTGGTCAGGCTGTGGCGGTGGGAATGTTGTGTAACAAAAATCCCCAAATAAAAAGGGCTGCTGGTTCTGGAGGAAGAAACATGAGCCCTCATTGCTCCTCCCCTGTTTTTAGGTAAAGCTGACCTGAAGGAGAAGTAAGTGAGCTGCTGCACCTGCCACTGCCCTGGGCTAATCCTGCCTCCACTCCTGGGATGCACTGACCTGCCAAGGGACCCACAGCAGGAGCAACCCCAAGGAAGCTCCTGGTCCGAGTTTCCCCTGATTGTCTGGTCACGCTTTCCCCTTGATTTCCCTGTCAAGGTTTTATTCTTTGATTTCCTGGTCACGGTTTCCCCTTGGTTTCCTTGTCAAGGTTTTATTCCCTGATTTCCCTGTCAGTTTTCCCTGTTGCAGTTCCCCTCGATTTCTCTGTCACGGTTCTCTGCTGGTTTCCCTGTCCTGGTTCCCCCCTGGTTTCCCTCTCACAGTCCCCCCTGGTTTCCCTGGCTCAGTTCCCCCTGGGGCTGTTCCAGCTCCACCCAGGAGTGCTGAGCCCTGGATCTTTGCTGTGACAGTGTCCAGAGGCAGGCAGGCTGTGCTGCAGCCCAGGCAGGCTGTGCTGGCACTCCCAGGCGCTCAGGCAGGATTAGCTGGGCTCAGGCTCGGGGTTAATCCCTGGAGCTATTCTGGGATCATGCTATGAAGTGCCCCATATAAACCCTGCCAGGGTGCTGGGGCAGGGATGTTTGATGGTCCCACTGGCAGCATCCAGGGGTTTCCCCCCTGCCCACCCTGCAGGGGCGGTTCCACAGCGCTGTCCTCTGCCCTGGCCTGGCCTTACCCCTGACTCAGCACTGTGCAATCCATCCCAGGGGCACTCAGGGTCCTGCTGGCCCTGCCCTGTGGGAGGGAGCTGGAATTGGGCCCAGGGGCTGCCCTTGGCACTGCTCAGGCTCTGGGAATTGTGGCTGTGCTGCCTCGGTGCTCCCAAGGGCTGCCACACTCATTCTCCTCGATCCAGTGCCTCATTCCTGCCTGTCCCAGGAGCCAGATCCTCCTCTGGAATGGATACGCCAGGATTTTAATGAGGGAAGGGGCTGCTGCTGACCCCTGGGGTTTGGGGGGCTGCACCCACACTTGGGGACACCTTGGGGCCTTTTCTCTCCCCGTGTCTTCCCTCAGTCCCACAGATCTGAGGGCACCAGGGGAGGTTTCCCACCCCAGCTCATTCCCTGGAGCTCACTGCTGGACCTGTCCATGCTGAAATAAAGCACTGATTCACTGTGTTGGAGTGTTGAACACGCTGGGAATGGCATCCCAGAGGCCTGGGCTGCTCCTCTGCTCCCTGCCTGAGGGCTGGGGGGCCTGGGGGTGTGGGAGGTTTGTGCTTTTACCTGGAATCTGTTCCCATTTCCCAGGTTTGCCATTGCAAAGGGGGTTGGGGCATTCTCAGAGCCAAAGCTGCACTGGGAAGGTTTCATTTTCACTCCTCTTAGCACTTTTCCCCTAATGAAGCCAGTTTCAGCTTGTTCCAAGGGTGTTCTTGGTACTTTCTGGGCACAGGGAGCTGAGTTTCTCACCGGAACTTCCCTGCACAAAGTCTGCAGGACTGGAAGCCACAGCCCTCGGTGTCACAGGGGATCTTCACCCCTTGGAGCTGGATCCTGGGTCCCTGGAGGCTTGAGCTGGGCTTTGCTGGGCTCCAGTTCCCTGCTCCAAGGGGTGAAGTCCCCTCTGGAGCTCAGGAGCCAGTGCCTGCCCCCATTGCCCTCAGCTCGGGGCAGCCTCCAGCTCTAATTATTCACCAGCTTCCAGTCTGAAGGTCCAAAGTGCCTTTTCACTGAGTAATCCTTGGGTTTTAGGGCGTTAAGGGGGAATTGTTCCCAGTGAGGGTGGGCAGGCCCTGGCACAGGTGCCCAGAGCAGCTGTGGCTGCCCCTGGATCCCTGGCAGTGCCCAGGCCAGGCTGGGCAGGGCTGGGAGCCCTGGGACAGCGGGAGGTGTCCCTGCCATGGCAGGGGTGGCACTGGGTGGGCTTCGAGGTCCCTCCAACCCAAACCATTCCAGGATTCTCCAGGTCAGGTAACATCCATGGGGGCCCTGGAAGGGTGGCAGGAAAGGATTTTTGGGTGCTGCAATGGGAGGAAACCTTGGGAATGCCGGCGATGAGGGGATGGCAGAGCTCCCTCCCCATCGTGGGCAGCTGTGCCAGGGATCCAGCGGGGATTCCAACATCCCTGCCCTGCCCAGCAGCCTGTGCCAGCCAGGGGGGATTCAGGCAGAATTGCTCCATCCCTGCCCTGCCCGCAGCAGATCCAGCCCGGATTCCAGGCTGCTGCCTTGCAGTTTGTGGATGCGGGCACGGGAGGGTGCCAGCGCCTTTCCCAACCCTTGCAGCAGGGAAGGGAAGGACGAGGGTGCTCCTGTGCGATTCCTGCAGCCACAAGGAAATATCCCCGGAGCCAGCACCCCCTCGGGGAGGGTTTAAATAGGAGTGGGGTGTTTTCATGGAAATCTGGCTGGGGATGGGATTTTAGCAGGAATGTTGAAGTCCTGAGGGTGGAGAGCTCCAGGCAGGGCCTGGTGCTGAGGATTCAGGATGCAATCCTGCAGGAGGGATCCCATCCTATCCATCCCATTATCCCATCCCATCCCATCCTATCCTATCCCATCCCATCCCATCCCATTTCCCATCCCATTGTCCCATCCCATCCCATCCCATCTCCCCGAGCACCCTCAGCCCTGGGCACACACTGTGACCCCTCCCGGACCCCGGGGCACTCGGAATTCCTCTTTTCCCCCCTCACTCCCGGCCCGGCCATTCCCTGTGCCGTTCCCCCTCCTTTCATTACCCCACTAATGACAATTCCGCCTTAACCAGAGGATTTTCCCTGCTCGGGCGCAGCCGCCCCGGCCCGGCTTTAACGACACAAATTCAATTACGTCTCCAGGCCGACGCAAACTTCCCTGATTGTTTCAGAAATCGCTCATTTCCTCGCCCGTAGCCTCCAGCTGACCTCCCTTTGGAGTTTGGCCGGATTTTCCCGCATGCCCCGCACGGGACCTGCCCCTGACCCTCCCGGGCCGGCTCCAGCCGCCGGCACAGCATCCAGAGCCCAGAGATTCAGATTAATTCTCTAATAAGACAACAAGCCCCACAGAAATGATGTTAGCCGAGGGAAAGGCAATGACCTGGAGGCACTCGGAAGCTCCAATTACCGCTGCTCCTCGGAGCCGGTGCCCGGCTGCTCCTGCTGCACCCCTGGAATGCTCAGTGCTGATTCCAGAGGCTGCTCAGCATCGCAGGGATGGCTCCTCCCATATCTGTGTGATTTTATTTCATTTTCTTTATTAATCTATTTTATCTTTATTTTATTAGATATTTATTTTATTTTATTTTAATTTATTAATTTTATTATTATTTATTATATATCATATACATTTATTATATATATTTATTATATATTTTTCTTTTTAGTTTAGGTTTTAATTTATTTGTTATTTTATTTATTTTATTTTTATTTATTATTTATTATATATAATGTGCTTTTATTATATATAATATATAATATATAATATATAATATATAATATATAATATATAATATATTATATATTATATATTATATATTATATATAATATATATAATATACATTTATTAGATAGTTTTCTTTTTATTTTTATTTTAGTTATTTTATTTATTTAATAGTTATTTTTTATTTATTTATTTTACTTTATTTCATTTATTATTTTATATTTCTCTTTATTTATTTAATTTTGTTTATCCTCTGATCCACGGTTTTCCCTGCTCCAAAAGGCCAGGACCCCAAACCAGCACTTTTGGTGGGGTTACACATCCTGGTGGACAGGAGCACAGCCTGATTCGGGATGCTCTGGCACCCTCATCCCAGCAAACATTGCCTTCATGCCAAGCTGTGCCAGCTCCCATCCCTTGGTGGCCTTTGTCATCATGCCAAGCTGTGCCAGCTCCCATTCCTTTGGTGGCCTTTGGCACCAGTTTCCTTCAAAGGGATTTATTTGGGGTTTTTTTGGAGGCTGTGAATATGCAGGTGTTGTGTTAATTATGGGAAATAAAGGGATGGAAATTTAAAAATTATCCCACCCCATGATGATTTCCTGGGGCTGGCAGGAGGAGGGGAATCCAGGATTTATTTATTCCAGTTTATCCAGCAGTAACAGCTTCACCCTGTCCCAAACCCCCTCCGGCTGGCCCTGCCCGATCCCTTCCCCAGGTCTGGTTAAACCTCCCAGAGCCACAAGGTGGGGAAATTTATTTGTTTGGGGTTTGTGATGTGTGTTAATTAGGGAGACAACGACTGGAGACACCCACAGCGAGTCTGAGCACGCCGCAAAAATGTTTAGCCCGAGGAAAATTTTAATCCTTTTTTTTTCCCCCTTCCCTGGCTGTCGAGATGTGACTTTTTAAGGCAATTAGTGAGGGTTTAGCTGTTAATCAGTCATACTTAGACGCTTGCTTTGGGGTCTTATCTCCTGCTCCCAAGTGAGCATCGCCTGGAATCGCCAGCTCCATTTTTGATGTGGGAAAATCAAAAATGCCTGTCCCAGGTGGGGAATGCCTGTCCCGGGTGGGAAATGCCTGTCCCGGGTGGGAAATGTGTGTTCCAGGTGGGAAATGCCTGTTCCAGGTGGGGAATACCTGTCCCAGGTGGGAAATGCCTGTCCCGGGTGGGAAATGCCTGTCCCAGGTGGGAAATGCCTGTCCCAGGTGGGAAATGCCTGTCCCGGGTGGGAAATGCCTGTCCCAGATGGGAAATGCCTGTCCCGGGTGGGAAATGCCTGTCCCAGGTGGGGAATGCCTGTCCCGGGTGGGGAATGCCTGTCCCGGGTGGGAAATGCCTGTCCCGGGTGGGAAATGCCTGTCCCGGCTGGGAAATGCCTGTCCCGGGTGGGAAATGCCTGTCCCGGGTGGGAAATGCCTGTCCCAGGCGTGTTCCTGTGCTCAGCACCGCCTGCACAGGGCAGCACAGGCAGCTTTAGATGGGATCAGAGGAGAACTTTTCTGTGGAAGAGATTTTAAAGGCCTGGAGCTGGCTGGGGAGTCAGCAGTCCTGGAGGAGTTGCAGTTTGCTGTGACCACGGTGGTGCTGCTGGTTGGACTCGATGAGTTTAAAGTTCCTTTCCGACCTTACCAATTCCATGAATCCATGCCTGGAGAGCCGTGCCCACCCCATGGCCCTGGAGGGGCTCACCAGGGAGGACTGGGGATATTCTCAGTTTAGCTGAAGAAAGAACAGAGATAATTTTTCTCAGGCCTTAAAGGAAAGAATTAAATCAATTATTATCTGTCTTTTTGTAACTGTTGTCTATAGATATGATTTTTTTAGAGTGTGTTATTCATAATTCACTAACAGTGTGAGAAGTTTTTACTTTGAGGCTAATCAAGTCTCAGTTTAGTGAGGTGCACTATAACAACATGTTACCCTCTATTAAATGGTTTTTATTCACTTTTCTTTCCATCCCTGACTCAGCAGTGACAGAGAATGTTCCAGGCCGTGCCAG